CGCAACATAACGCTTGGATAGAAACAAATCTTTAAAACACGATTTTATAACGGCTGCTGCATTTAACTTAAAACAGAAACGAAAACTAAGTACGTTTACTGAAAAGCACAAATTTGTATATGTATAAGTATTTACTTATCATCTATTATATTTTATTAAGATTGCATACGCCAAATCAGAGAAAAGAAACGAAGATAGAATTTGCAGTACGAAGTAATTTAACAAATTTTACCTGAATTGTTACTCGAGCGCGGTATAGCATTGGAGCGCGAGCGGTAGAACTCTTTGAGTTACCGCTTGCTAACTTTGAAGGAGGTAACGTGCAACTTCAGTCAGTCATCCAGGATTCATACAAAAGTGAACAATTATCTTTTTGAATCCCAGCTGAATCAATTTGGACTTCATTAAGCCCGAAAAACAAGCAAACTAAAACTTGAAAAATGCTAATCTTCAATGACAAAGTGGGAAACAAGAAGATCTAATTGAAAACCAAAACCTCAGAAAAGATCCCGGCATTATGCCTGACTGAGCCTCCGAGTTTGATAACAGAACCGCACCTAATATTTCCGCTGAATCGAGGTGTGGTGCAGTAGGAACGAAAATGTCGCGTCGCGGCTACAGGGATGCCGCCCGCGAAGGAATGCAGCTGAATTCAGCAGCATATAAGAAATACATGAACAAAAGAACTAACAGTAGAATCATGCCTAAAATAATGATCACATATCGATTGAACTGTATGAAGAACGCTAGAGCTGTAATAATGAGACAAATGGTGGTGCAGTAGGATCGAGATTGTCGCGTCGCGGCGAGAGAGACGCCACGCGCGAAGAAATCAGTACTCATTCTAAAGGAAGGATCACCAGTGGAAAATCAAGGAACATATAACATGCTGATTAAAAAATTTTAGAAAATTCGAGTAGCAATGCACATGATATATCTATACCATAATACAAAATAAAGGAGTACAAATTAGTGAAACGATATGTAGTAAAATGACTGGAACTAAATGCTTTCATCATTAAGGATGCGATGGAGCATATTTCATGCAAGCTCAATAACCCGAAGGTGCACCTTGCCACCTCACCTTTACGAAGGTCTGCCAGCCGTCTATCGATCCACTGCACCTGCTCCTTTTCTAGTGTCAGCTCTATGCCCTTTACAGACGAGACCTGCTTTTCTGTGTATCCCCTTCTAAACTCCCTAAAATTACTTTGCAGTATGTTATTTTTAATTAGTACAGTCATACTTTAGGGAGTTCCTGTAACTCATGAATACGTCACCTCAACGTGCAGTAAAAGACTCGCCTGAGGTAACACAATATGTGCAGCTTGAAGAGCTCAATGAAGCTTTGGAGGTTTGTTTGGGCTGGTTTTCATTATTGGAAAAGCCCACAAAGCTTTCAACTTTTCAGAAGGAACGAGCTCTCGTTTTGCAAACTCAGGAGAACTATATGGATCTGAAGAAGAAGTTTCTTGAACTTTCTCAACAGTCAGAACATGACCAAGCACAAATGCAGGAGGTATTAAGTCTTCAGGCCTTTTAGACCGTTTTTGGATTTGAATCATACTAGTAATGCATATGTAGCCTGTATAATGTCTTGCTGTGGTCGGTCGATGTACTAAATAGCTTTTTTTGTCCTCCTAGACGAATCTGGTACCAATTAGAGGACCCGTAAACACGAAGGTTTGGTTGGCCTAGCTGGCTACAAAGCCGGGATTCGACTCACTACTTTCCTTCGGGTATAATTAATCCTAAAATAATTCAAATTAACCACAAAATGGCTCATTTCTCAATACTAGTCAGTAGTTATGAGGTTATCATCGGGCACCACCTCTTAGTTTACCCACATAAGCACCGGATTAGCTCTCACCTCGGTGAAGCAACTCAGATGAGCATATTCTCGTCAGAAAATTATTCCAAATCATTCAAAAATTATTTCAAAAACATGGTTTTCTGCAGAGAAATGGACCCATAGACCTATAAAATTCGACTTGATCCTAAAAGATGTACTTGTTGTTAGTCATTCTCATTTACAGATGGTGCGAGAGCAGGAGCAACAGATTCTAGGTCTTCTCGAAATGAGTGAGATGCTTAAATCTGAAAACGAGCAACTACGACAGCAGGAAGAGCAGCTCAAGGCTTTGCTTGAAGAAACAGCTAGGAATGCAAGGGCCAAGGAAGAGGAGCTACGGAAGGAGTTTAGCGATCAGATTGGAATGCTTATAGAAAACACAGCCGAGTAAGTATACCTTCTCCTTGAAGAAAAGATAGTAAAGTTTTGGGCGATTCTAAAACGGGTTGATCAATACCGTTTTTGGGATGCGCCCTGCATTCGACTTCCATACGGAGTCGTTTTGACGTTCTGCATATGCATTTGGTCTACACAATGACTTGCGGTGGCCAGCCAGCGTACAAATCAGTGTTTTTATCCTTCCAG